TGTGAACTTCACAGAAAATCCAAGAACTTTACAGAAATTCCGACAAGGTTTCCGAAGTCACAAAACCCATTGCGATGGGTATTTTTTATCACTGTGACCATTACTTTAATCTAGATCGAAACTTCAAGGACACTTGAGAAACTTCAGAGAAAACCTGAGAACTTCTGGACAGCTAAAATAAATTAAAGGAAGTTTCAAAAACTTATGGATAACTTTGATAGGTTCATGGAAGGTCCAGGGAATTTCAGAAAACTTAGGGTAGATGTAACAGTTATGGATATACGTTCCTAGTATGGTGTATTTCAATCATGGAACACACCATAAAAGGAACGAATAGAAATAAAAAACATAAATGAAGTACCAAGAACCCTTTTCCTAGAAGTTTTCGGAACGTCCAAAAAATACCATGAATTTTCTTCAATTTCTGAGAACTTTTCGGAAATATTGAGCACTTCTCAGATACTATGAGAACTTACCAAAACATCTAGGGAATTTCCATAAGTTCCAAGAACTTTCTAGAAATTCCAAAAACTTCCTGAATTTCTCAGATCTTCCAAAAACAAATCCCAATTCTTCTGAGAAATTTCAATAACTTTCCAAAACCAAACGTTTCAGAATTCACAAGATCATCCTAGAACTTCGCAGAACTTCTAAAAACTTCCATGAAAATTAAAAAAAAATGCCTAAATTTTCCCAGAAGTTTCCAGAAAATCCAAGAACTTCACAGAAAGTCCAAGAGCTTTCTCAGAAATTCCGGAAAGTTTTCGGTAGTCATTTTTGTGATGGGGTTTTTTTTATCACTGCGCCAATTACTTTGATTTACTGTGAGCTCCTGTAATTTCCTAGAAATTTCAAAATAAGCCCAGAAAACCCCGAGGAGGATGACTCTATCTACGATGCAAAAAAGATTGTGTTTTGCTGTAGCTACCTGCGCGCACGCTGAGTAGATAGAAAGAAGATTGATGACGATTCTGAAGATTTCCTGCAAAAAATTGATTGCTAGTGTGAGATTTGTTGAGCTTCTAAACTTGAGATTTAGATGTGTCGTCCCCCTCGGAAAACCTAAAATCTTCAAAGAGCTTTTCAGATGTCACAAATTCCAATTAAATTTCAAAAATTCCAAAATCTACCCAGAAATTCTGAGAACTTCACAGAAAATCCAAGAACTTCACAGAAATTCCAACAAGTTTTCGGTAGTCACAAGACCTTTTTTTGATGGGACTGCGACCATTACTTTGATCTAGAACCGAGAACTTAGCAGAGATTCCTAGGTCTAGGGAAGATCCTAAAAAATCTAAATGCTTCCCAGAAATTCCAAGAACTTCCAAGATTTCTTAAGAAGTCACAAGACCGTCCCAGAACTTCCCAGATATTAAAAGGAAAATTCCAAAACTCCAAGATATTCCCAGAAATTCTGACAACTTCCGAGAAAATCTAAGTACCTCACAGAAAATCCAAAAACATAACAGAAATTCCGAAAACTTTTGGGAAGTCCCAAGACATTTTTTTGTTCCCAGAACTTCCCAGAAGTTCCGAAGAACTTCCCAGAAGTTCCGAAGAACTTCCCAGAAGTTCCGAAGAACTTCCCAGAAGTTCCGAAGAACTTCCCAGAAGTTCCGAAGAACTTCCCAGAAGTTCCGAAGAACTTCCCAGAAGTTCCGAAGAACTTCCCAGAAGTTCCGAAGAACTTCCCAGAAGTTCCGAAGAACTTCCCAGAAGTTCCGAAGAACTTCCCAGAAGTTCCGAAGAACTTCCCAGAAGTTCCGAAGAACTTCCCAGAAGTTCCGAAGAACTTCCCAGAAGTTCCGAAGAACTTCCCAGAAGTTCCGAAGAACTTCCCAGAAGTTCCGAAGAACTTCCCAGAAGTTCCGAAGAACTTCCCAGAAGTTCCGAAGAACTTCCCAGAAGTTCCGAAGAACTTCCCAGAAGTTCCGAAGAACTTCCCAGAAGTTCCGAAGAACTTCCCAGAAGTTCCGAAGAACTTCCCAGAAGTTCCGAAGAACTTCCCAGAAGTTCCGAAGAACTTCCCAGAAGTTCCGAAGAACTTCCCAGAAGTTCCGAAGAACTTCCCAGAAGTTCCGAAGAACTTCCCAGAAGTTCCGAAGAACTTCCCAGAAGTTCCGAAGAACTTCCCAGAAGTTCCGAAGAACTTCCCAGAAGTTCCGATGAACTTCCCAGAAGTTCCGAAGAACTTCCCAGAAGTTCCGAAGAACTTCCCAGAAGTTCCGAAGAACTTCCCAGAAGTTCCGAAGAACTTCCCAGAAGTTCCGAAGAACTTCCCAGAAGTTCCGAAGAACTTCCCAGAAGTTCCGAAGAACTTCCCAGAAGTTCCGAAGAACTTCCCAGAAGTTCCGAAGAACTTCCCAGAAGTTCCGAAGAACTTCCCAGAAGTTCCGATGAACTTCCCAGAAGTTCCGATGAACTTCCCAGAAGTTCCGAAGAACTTCCCAGAAGTTCCGAAGAACTTCCCAGAAGTTCCGAAGAACTTCCCAGAAGTTCCGAAGAACTTCCCAGAAGTTCCGAAGAACTTCCCAGAAGTTCCGAAGAACTTCCCAGAAGTTCCGAAGAACTTCCCAGAAGTTCCGAAGAACTTCCCAGAAGTTCCGAAGAACTTCCCAGAAGTTCCGAAGAACTTCCCAGAAGTTCCGAAGAACTTCCCAGAAGTTCCGAAGAACTTCCCAGAAGTTCCGAAGAACTTCCCAGAAGTTCCGAAGAACTTCCCAGAAGTTCCGAAGAACTTCCCAGAAGTTCCGAAGAACTTCCCAGAAGTTCCGAAGAACTTCCCAGAAGTTCCGAAGAACTTCCCAGAAGTTCCGAAGAACTTCCCAGAAGTTCCGAAGAACTTCCCAGAAGTTCCGAAGAACTTCCCAGAAGTTCCGAAGAACTTCCCAGAAGTTCCGAAGAACTTCCCAGAAGTTCCGAAGAACTTCCCAGAAGTTCCGAAGAACTTCCCAGAAGTTCCGAAGAACTTCCCAGAAGTTCCGAAGAACTTCCCAGAAGTTTCGAAGAACTTCCCAGAAGTTCCGAAGAACTTCCCAGAAGTTCCGAAGAACTTCCCAGAAGTTCCGAAGAACTTCCCAGAAGTTCCGAAGAACTTCCCAGAAGTTCCGAAGAACTTCCCAGAAGTTCCGAAGAACTTCCCAGAAGTTCCGAAGAACTTCCCAGAAGTTCCGAAGAACTTCCCAGAAGTTCCGAAGAACTTCCCAGAAGTTCCGAAGAACTTCCCAGAAGTTCCGAAGAACTCCCCAGAAGTTCCGAAGAACTTCCCAGAAGTTCCGAAGAACTTCCCAGAAGTTCCGAAGAACTTCCCAGAAGTTCCGAAGAACTTCCCAGAAGTTCCGAAGAACTTCCCAGAAGTTCCGAAGAACTTCCCAGAAGTTCCGAAGAACTTCCCAGAAGTTCCGAAGAACTTCCCAGAAGTTCCGAAGAACTTCCCAGAAGTTCCGAAGAACTTCCCAGAAGTTCCGAAGAACTTCCCAGAAGTTCCGAAGAACTTCCCAGAAGTTCCGAAGAACTTCCCAGAAGTTCCGAAGAACTTCCCAGAAGTTCCGAAGAACTTCCCAGAAGTTCCGAAGAACTTCCCAGAAGTTCCGAAGAACTTCCCAGAAGTTCCGAAGAACTTCCCAGAAGTTCCAAAGAACTTCCCAGAAGTTCCGAAGAACTTCCCAGAAGTTCCGAAGAACTTCCCAGAAGTTCCGATGAACTTGCCAGAAGTTCCAATGAACTTCCCAAACATCTTGGACATAATAAAAATTCCATGAAGCTTCTCTCTTCCTCAGAATTTCAGAAATTTTTCTAAGGTATTCCTGGTTTATGGAAAAATTATGGAATTACTCTGAAATCTTCACAACTTCCCTGACATAGTTGGAATTTCCCAAAAGCTTCCAAAAATTTCAATCAACATCCTTGACACGCCTCTGAAGTTATCTACATCTTGAATCGTCCTTGAAGATTTCAAAATTTCCCTGACGTTCTTGAAACTTATCTGATTTTCTATAAAGTTCTCTAAACTCCAAAACTATCGCAACAATCCTGATGTTTCCGCAAATTCTTTAAAGTACTCACAGTTTTCCTGTAGTTCACAAAACTGCCTTGAAGGTTTCTTAACTAGGTATTTACGATCAGTGGGAAAATTCAGTGTAAATGTTTACTTTGGTAAGCTTTGTAGTATTTTAAGTCCTGAAATTAATCTTGTTGATTTTCCCGACAAGTAACTCCACAAAATGTGTTCCTACTTTAACTAAGTTCTCTTGATGTTTCCCACGAATCCAACTTCCCATAAAATTGTCGTTTCTGATAAAACTGTGCTAAGATTTAGAAAAAAACATACACCTCCACACGAAAAGGAAAATGTAATTTTTCTGTTTACCGTCGGGCAAAATCTTTCATCAAACATTTGTCCTCCTTTCATCCACCATCTAACTTTGGTGCCGCGTTTTTTCCCCATCGCCAACTTCGCATGACACAGACATCAAACAAAAAAGTTTGTTGTGCTCGTTCGCACACGGTCTGTGTAGGAAATCAAAAACTCATCTCCAACTCACACCGAACGGAATAAGCGAAAAACAGGTATGTAGGTGGTAGCTACCTAGATAGGTATCAGCGTCGTCCTCGACTCCGACAAACAAACCTGCTTCTTCACAGGAACCCCTCGAGAACGAACCCCCGCCCGTGCTGCCATTCACAAGCAAAAGCTGTCTCAAGCATTTGGCGTCCTTCAAGCATCCGCTTTGCTTTACCTGTCTTCCGCTCCCGTTTCGTGATTCTTGCAAAGAGGCAAAACAGGTGCTAAATGAAGACGGAAAAAAGGTGAGTGTTGGGAGACGATCTCCCGCGCACTGCCACCACCACCACCACTATGTGGTGTTTGTCAACTTTTTGGACTTGACATTCGTTCCTTGAGACAGCTCCGGGGTCTGGGATTTTTCGTGATTTCGGAACGGCTTAAGGTTCTGGCACATTGTTTCGCCTTTTTTGTCTAGCTGCCATATGATACTTACCGTAAACCAGGCCATCGTTGAATCGTCGTAGAGTACCACCCATTCCTCCGACCATCGACTCCAGAGGACTGATTCTGAAATGGAAGATGAGAGAAGAGCGGTGGGGAGCAATTAGAATGGGATCTATCAAAAGGGCAGTCGAAGAAATACAAAAATACTCTTTTTAGAGATGGCAGCTTTAACGGAAACGTACGGTTCATTATAAAATTTGTTACATACGACCTATCCAAAAATGATTCCAGATTGATATAATTGTGTTTTTGTAATCTAAAATTGCGACCGTCACGAAAAGGTGTTACGTTATGAATGCTTATAACTTTGTCATTTATAGATGAAATTTAAATCCAAATACACCAATCGATAGGTAATTACTCAACAAATATGCTGAAATAAATACTTTTAGAGTTTTCAATTGATTTTTTTTTGAAAATCACTGTTTTTATGGGATAAACGTTTTTCCCTAACCCAGTTTTCATAATAGAGTACCATTTTGCTGCGCATCTTTCTGCTTGAAACTGTAAAGGTTTTAAAAGAGTGCTGCTGTCGTGACACCGCTTATTTTCGTATTGGACGGTGTGATTAACGGGTCGCTTAAGACACCAGTTGTTGTTGTTCCTCAAAATGGACCTTTGCTCGCTTTGAACTCTATATTTTCATCTCCTCATCTAGCGTATAAAATGACTACTTTAAGTCTGATATTTGACGTCAAGCATCTTCAACTATGTAAATCATTTGCTTCACGCATGGAGTTATCCAAACATGTTTAGTTAAAAAACAATAGTTGTAATCATTTCATCATCCGCAGGTTTTCGTGAATAAAAGCATACTCGCACAAACTAGCACATATCTCCACATAGAATAATATTTTTCCTCTACCAGTTAGTATGCGTAGTTTGTTTACAAGATTGAACTTTCATTCGCGAGAATTCGGTGATTAAAGTAAATGTTTACGAAAGCAGTTTCGTCATGACGAACCTGTTCCTCGACCATCAAACTTCATCCGCGGCGTTCCATCGAAACCCTGTTCTATTCCGGAAGCGGATGCATGCTGTTTTTCAACCATCGACAAAAGTTGACACATAGCTATGGGAACCGTCGTTCCGGTGAACCCGGGACCGGAAGGTACAGGATAGAATTAGTTTCGCAGCTTGGGAGGAACCCGGGCAGACAGTTATTGACAGACGATACCCTGCTCATCTCCAACTGACTTTTCTCCCCAACAGGATGTTGAAATCGACTGTTTAGACAAAAAGACTCAACCGAAAAGTAAATAGGCCGCTGGTGGGGAGTTTGCTATTCAAACGGGCATCAATGGGGGAAAATGGGATGACAACTTGTCCGTAATTTCCCGTTCGATGGAAAAGGATGCTGCGGGCCGTATGTATTGGGATATTGACTGGATGGCCGAATCGGCTCTTTTGAATTGGTGTGTAAGGATGTTGCTTTCCGTCGATGGAGGGGAAGATACCTTCATAATGGAATTTTTCAAATGGATACCTAATGGACTATCCACAGTTTGAGAAGGGAACGGATTTCTCCGAAATGGGAATCCCATTGTCGATGGAGAAGGTGGAGGTGGTTGGCATCGTTTGCTCATTGTGATCTTTGGAATGAAAATTCTTTTACGTACTAAAGAGATTTGTTTGGTATGAGGAAAGCAGTTTGGTACCCTACGGTCAGGGAAGTCGGGAAAATCTTCAACAAGGAACGAGCCTCGCTGGGGGTTTCACTTAAAAAAAAACAATGCTCTGTGTAGGAATATAAAAGAGATGTTTGAAATTGTCGTCCTACAGCAGTTCTTCTTTCTGGCTTTTCCGAGCTTTCACCTGCTCTCGACTTAGTGAAGCACTTCCACTGATATCAATTGATCGAACTAAATTCAAGTAGTTTCGTGTAGGCAATATCCAAGCAACATTGCAAGTTTTATCAAGGTTTTAAAGCATTCAACAAGGCCAAATCTAGATGCACATTTCAAAAGGTCCTATCTCTTCATCGACGTTCCTTTTTGATAACCATGGCTATACAAACAGATTAAATCACATTTTTGCAGCTGCGTGATTGATTGTTTCGTGTAAAAAGATAAACATTGCAATACAATACGAACACCACTATACATTTGCACATTTCACTAACACCAATAAACCCTTTGGCCCAGACCTTATATAAATGTCATTGATTAATTGGGGCTCATCATAAAAAAGCAATTCAATTCTAAAGCTGGGTTGAATTCAACTGACTTGAGCAATTCACTTGCCCTGTCTAAACCCAGCTTAATTGTAATTCATGTCGAAAGGCAATCTAGTGGGATTCGTAGAACTTCTAGTTAAAGATAAAATGGCCGTTCCATTGGATTGTTACATTTGCATAACCTTAAGTTCAAATCTAGACTAACATTTTAAAAGGGCGTAACTCCATATCGAGAAAATCACTTCCGAATTTGAATGACCTAAAAATTAATCCTATTTCACAACTTTCCATTTTCTGGATGATTTTATAAGCTTGACATATAGTTAATAGTGTAATCTATTATCATTCATCACTTAAAACCCAAAACAAGTTTTGCTTGTCGTGAAATTGAGAAGAAAACATCATACGCTCTAATAATTTCTTACACGTTGTTACCCCCCGGATCTTCCACCCTTTGAACTGGCAACACTGGTGATACGCCGTGGAAGTACACCCTCGCGATTTTTTTGTTTATTGTTCCGCCTTGGTTCTTTGTTCTCAAATTTTGTGAGAGTGGAACAGCGTTGCCAGTATGTTGTAAAGCTTATCGGTATCGAAGGTTTTAAAAAATCGGTATTTACTATTTTAATTAATTGTAAATTTTTGCCTTTTTTGAAAGCGATTTTTTTTTTTACTTTTGGACTATGATCGGAAAATTCTGGAAGAAAATTCCGGGGAACGTTTGAATTAAAAAAATTCTGGAGGAAGTCGGAAGTCTGAGCGCTAACGGAACAGTCGAAAGAAACAAGGACATAATTCCGGAAAAAAAGATCTCTTGGGGGATGTTCTAATGATCCAGAAAATTTTCCAAATGGTCATAAAACATCCCTGAAGTCCTCGCAATACCTTGAAGTTCTTAAAACATTACATAAATGTATCTAGGAATATTCCATATGTCCTCCAGCTGTTTTAGAGTACTCTGATCATCTTTGAAATACTTGGAACTTTCTTGATTATAATGAGACTACCGGAATATCTCTAATCAACTTTGAAGCTCTCTAGACTTTCTTGAAGATTACAAAATTTCTTAAGCGCTCTCACAATTTTCTTGAATTTATTGTAACATCAGCATTGAAGTTCTCTGATCTTCCCGATTTTTCTAATTTTTAAAAGTTATTGACACTACAATTAATAAGCACGGAACTTCCCATATAATGTTCTAACAATGTGCTAATGTTCATGTAACTCCCTTACGTTTCTTAAATTTGCCCTCGGAACATTGCTGAAGTTTTCGGAAATTGCCTGAGATTCTCGTAACTCCTTTAAAATTTCAGCGATTTCCTTGAAATTTATTGATCTGATCTGATTATCCTTATGTTCTCGAAGCTTCCTAAAGTGCTCTAAATTCTCCTGAAACTAATGGAACTGTCTCGAAAACCATTAAATTTTCCAGACGTTCTTTGGACTTGTGAAGTATCCAAAATATTTATGATGTTTCCTTAAGTTCACTGGAGTTTGCTGGACCGGGTTTTAGAATTTTAATAGAAGTTATCGAAACATTCTTTAATTTATCGAAACTTACTTAACAGTCTGAACTTTTCCGAAGTTAGTTAGTTTTCTTTATTATGGAGGCTTTCAGCCAGAGGCTGGGTCGCCTCCGGTGTTTTCTGAAGTTTCAGAACTTTTTAAAAGTTCCTGCAGCTAATGTGGATCCGCAATCAAAATCTAGAAGCATCCCTGAAGTTCCGGGAAGAATCATTCGAGCAAAGGCTGAAGAAGCTTCCAATGGAAGTCGAAATAAGTTTCCGAGAGGAATCGTCAAAAGAAAATTCCAGGGGAAAGTTGGAAGAAAATCCAAGATGTTAAATAATTTTTAAAAAGTATTTCCTGATTCCCCCGAAATTACCAGGAAGAGCCATCTGAGTCAGACTGTTTATCGATTTATGGGTCGCCAAAAACGGTGGGGAAATTGAAACATTAATCGAAAAAGTATCCATAAGACATTTTTAAAGATGATTTTTTTTTAGAATTTTAAAGACTTAAAAAAATTTAGATTTTCAAAACGATACAAGTCTCACACAATAATTTTCTCCGAAATTCTGAGCGCAGGCAGGTAATAATCATTTTGATTATAAAAAACATCGGTATTAATCGGTATAACACCTCAAAAATCGGTATTCTGAGGAACCTTATCTGTATATCGGTAGCTAGTTCGGAAATCGGTATAAATACCAATAAATCGGTATATCTGGCAACGCTGGAGTGGAATTACGCCCGAAGATTTTTTGGTCTTCTTTTTGTTCGTTGTTTACACGTGAAATATCAATCGGATGCATTTCAAATGAATCGGGCGTGACTAGATACTACAGAATCAGTACGTTTGACATATTAAAACAATATAATTCGTAGTTCTGGTGCAAGGCGTAACAACCAGATGCATCATAGAGTTAAAAGTTGGAAATACGCCATGTAAGAAGAAACGTTTTTGATGATTTGAAGTGATATTTTCAGCTAATTTTTCGTGTTTATTCTCTCTATATGTGGCAAAAATGGTTTGTTACATTTTGTAGTTACGCTCTTATCAAAAGTTAGTCTAGAAATGATCTTTGTCGCTACTTGGGACACTGGTTGCTGGTTCGGGTTTGAAAAATGCTCGATTGTGTTTAAATATGTAAGCGTGTACCGTGGTTCAGTTGAGTTATCGTGTACCCGGTGTTCTAATTCAAAACCGACCGCCGGGTTTCGAGTTGATTTACAGAACCGCAGCTTGAAACCCGACAACCGGTGTGCTAGAATTTTGATTTTGGTTCACGAGATCTGTACCATGGCTCAATTCTATGAAAACAAGCCGGGTATACCGTTCTTGGTTTAGCCCATTGGCAAGAAATAAATAGCAGTGCTATCAAAA